TATATATGTAGAAGTGAGGAACCCTTCACTGACTTGATTTTGCCTTTATTTAGCTTATTACAATAAATAGGACAGGGATTTTGGGAATATACAATATTTTGTATGAACAAACAAAATAAAACTATTTGCAAAATGACAAAAAGAAGCAATAAAGCAACAAAATATGTGTCAACAACACAACAACAGCAAAAAACAAAAAACAAAAAAAAAACTCCCATAACTCATGTGCATAATTAAGAGGACAAAGGATTAACTCCAACTAATTTGGCAACAAAACAAAATAATTGCTTCATTTCAGTTCACTTCAGTTTACTTATATAGCTATACGAAAATGTGATCAAAAATCGGAAGGCCGAATAGTTGCACAGAAAACCAAGTTAGTTCCCAGTTTAAGAAGGTTTATTCTTCAAATCTAAACACTCCATTCATGATCAGAGTCATTGTGTGTGTGAACCTGAGTCTAATCAGCACCAAACAAAACAATGGCTTCTCTCTGCTGTTGCTGAAGTCTCCATCTCTTTTAAAGCCTTACAAGTACAAAAACCCAAACACCATGGTCACACCGCTGGGGTTGGTGGGTTGGTATCTTTTACGTCAGTCATTGGAATGTCCACAAACAATTCTTTGTTTATACTGCAGAGGGACACATTGAGCAGAAACTTGCTGATTCTCTTCCTGTTTAAAGAAAACAACTATAAATAATCACAAAGTGTAAAACGTGAGACTCTATCTAAAATTCAGTTAATCAGTCACAACATGTCCTCCTTATTCTCAAGTCACAACAAACATCATTTCAGGGCCATGTACAAAAACACAATCAATCCAAGGAAGCCAGCAGATTGTATTGAATCACTTCATTGCAGTCTCCCATCCTCAGCAGGACATTGACGATCTAATCGCACTAGTATGGATCGGATACAAACACTGATCTTGGAATCAATAGTAGAGATACTTGGATTGATATGCCCACCCTTAATTTCCAGCAGTCCCTGTAAAATAGGTGGGGACATCCTGGACAGGTCTTCAGTCCACCACATGTTTATCTGGACAAGTCTCTAGTCCACCACAGAGACACACAGAGACAACCATTCATTTTTTACCACTTAACCTTACTTGCATATTTTTGGGTATGTGGGAGGAAACCAGAGTACCAGGAGAAGCTGGGGTTTGATCTTGCAACCATCTTACTGAAAGACAACAGCTTTATGAACTGTGTCAACATGCTGCCTGGAAAAAAAATCATAACATAAGGAATTAGAAATCTAAATGCACAAACCTACACTTCCACAGACATTATATTCAAATATACATATGTGTAAAACCAGCTCACTGTGATGCTCAGTTCTGAATATGACAGTCTAAACCTATATTGTAGGACAGGACTGTTATTTTAAAAGAAACAACTTTACAAGTATAGCCTGGTTTTATTCACAGCCTTTCTGACTCAGCTTGTATGTGGAGCTATAGATTTCTAGTTTAGCAGTATTAGCATCCTGTCCACAGTTGTGTAGGCTACTGTCATTTTTCTGGTAGAAAGGGCCACACCCCAAGCAAGACAGTTGAAACGAAACAAGTGATATTCTCTCCAGTTACATTAGATAAAGTAAGAACCATTCAGACCACAACCAGAACCTCTTCATGGAGGGGCACCTCCAAAACGTCAGTATTTGGTTGTGGCCTGTTGCCTTTGTTCACACAGAGATCCATTGTGTTTAACAGTGAACCTGACTGAGTTTGATGTAGAACCTGACACTACTTGTTGAATCTTCTCTAAAACTTGCCTTTAAACAACTTCTGAACTCATCAGTTTTAAGTCTCTCTCCCACAAAGTTCAACAAATCGGAAGAGTTTGAAATGTCCAACTAAGCCCCACCCCCTGTAGTTTGGTGCAGTAGTTCAGAGCAGGATTTCATCCCAGCTTCTCTGTGTGGAGTTTATGTTCTATTCTTCCTGCCACAGATTACAGCAGGTCATGTCAGGGTAATAGTATTTAGGAGTGAATAGTTAGTTGTTCTGTTTGTTGCCCTGCGAGGGACTTGTGACCTGCCCATACGACCCTCCCTCTCTGACACGTGGTTTGATGCTTCTCTAGAATTTAATAAAACTTTTTGGATGCAGTTTCAAAATGACAGCTGTAACTTTATGTCTGATACTTGTATTCTGCATGCTACTGGTAAGTTTTGATTTAATGCCTTTTAATATCTAAAAAATATATTCTGTTTCTGTCTCCTTGTTTATCTTTCAACACCGACTCCTCCCCACTTCTCCAGACACACCACTCAGCAGCAAACCAACAAAGTCATCACCAGTACGAGCCATCTCATCAAACAGCTCTCTGATATAATCAGCGGCTCTTCACGGGTATACCTTCATGCTGCCGTTCCTTCTTCATAATCTGTCATTTTGGACAATAAACAGCAGATTACAACATTTTACTTAATTAATGCAAATGTTGTTTTGTCGCACAGCAAGACCGTCTTCGCCTGACCAGACTGAAGACTGAACTGTCTGATTCTGTGCAGCGTTACGGAGATCTGCAGAAGGTAGCAGAAAATCATTACTTTGTTTGAGAAATACTTTATAATATATATATATATATATNAACATGATCCTCACAGTGCTGCCTGCTTTGTCCAGATGACAGTGGGTTTGTTGAAGCAGGTGTATGATGGTGTCTTCAACTCCAACTCCACAGCGATAAGCAAACTGCAGGGGGTCCTGATGTGTGCTTGTTTGCTTACTCAGGTGGGTCAACAGGAGTCTCTCTAGGTCCTTCATGATGTGGGATGTCAGGGCAACAGGGGCATAGTTGTTAAGGGCTGATGGATGAGTTTTCTTTGGGACTGGAACCAGACAGGATGTCTTCCACAACACTGGCACCTTCTCCTGGGTCAAGCTAAGGGTTGAATATGAGCTGCAGAACCCCACAGAGCTGATCTGCACAGGCCTTGAAGACTCAGTGTGGCTGTAAATGAGATCTGTTTACAACATATACTCTGAATGTGACACCTCACAGCATTACATTAAAAATGTGTATTATTTACAAAGCTCATCTAAAAAAGCTACAACTCTAACTGTAGTTATAACTGAAATGTGGTGGGCAGCATATTCCATCTATGAATGTGATGCCTTTATTGTATTCTTTTATTTTAGATTAACTCTAGCATTTGCTAAATAAATTACTGATGGAAAAAAGTAACTTTAGAAAAAAACTTTTGATTGTAAAAGTAAATTGTCTTCAGTTTTGATCTTTTTCATTGTTTTTTTCTTCTCTCATAATACCACTTGGTCCCATTCTGTGATGTTTTTAGCTGCAGTTGCTCACTGTGACCTTTGACTCCACCGACAACAGACAGTAAATTGTGTTGACTGTCTCCTTGTCCCAATCCTCTACGGTGTGTCCATCTGTCCTCTGCCAGCAGAATCCTGCAGATCAGTATTTGTGTCCCAGCAGCAGAGGTGTGTTTGTGGAGCTGTGTCAAGTCAGGAGGGGTGGAGTGTGTGCTGCAGTCCAGGATGACCTGACAGCAGAGATATTTAATAAGAGTCTGAACCCAGCCTTCCAGCAGACGGGCTGCAGAGTTATGAATGTGGACCTGCACCTCCAAACTTTAACCTTACAGGGACTTAAAAAAAACAAAACTTGAGAACGAAAAGATTAAGGTTGTTACAGTGTTCACCTCCATCCCACTTCAGGTTAGAGTTACTGCAGCTAGAATTGGAGATAAATAGATGTGTAAGCAGGCTGTCTCAATCATAGCTGTACCGGACCGTCTTATCTGAATCAAAGGTTCTATTTCATCCCTACTGACCGCCAGAGGGCGGTGCTAAAAGCACTGAATGTTCCCTTCGCGCATGCGCCGTTCGAGCTGTAATACCAACAGA